GAATATTGATAAATTCATCGTAAAGAGGTTCAAGCCTACGCAAACGGTCCTCAATTTCCGCTAAAGATTTGTCGGAGCCTTTGTTAAATTCCGCAACCGCATTTTGGGTGAGCGTTAATTTGCGCTTAACAGCTCCCCGTGATTTGTTTAACGCAGACAATTCTTCCATCGACATTGTTACCTATGACGTTCGACAAACAATATCTCAAGCTAATAAATAAGGAAAGGGTTTACGTATTTTGTGAAGCTGATGATGTCGTCAACGGCGCCTGGAGATGCCCTGGTCGTGAAGCTGATGACGATGTCCACGGTGGAGCTGTCGGTTGACGTGGTGAAGTCCACGATGCTTAAGATGCCCCAGCCGTAGTGTTGATGAGGATGTTCACGATGTGGAGACGACGGTTGACGTCGGGAAGTCCACGTACTTAAGGATGCCCTAGGCGTAGTGCTGACGTGGTGAAGTCCACGATGCTTAAGGTGCACTAGTCGTAGAGTTGATTCACGGGCGACGAAGGCACTTATTTTGACTAACACTGGCACTTTCGATTTATTACTCCGAAATCCGGCTCGAAGGACCAAAATGTAGCGCGAAATCAAAACTCGATCGGAGCTTATACAATAATTTATTTAACTTCGCACAAATATGAAATGCCGGCTTCGGAGGCGTACCGATGTCGAGGCGGCCTCGTCGACGGGTTAGACGTGAATCGCCACAAAATTCGGTCGAAGTACCCTAATACGGGTGGGGTAGGGTGGACGACTTGTATACGCCCAAACCCTTGTTCAGGTAGACTGAACAGATACCGTACGTCCAGGATGGTTTGAGGATCTTACATTAACCTCCTTCGCTTCTTCTTCACATGTTCCTTTCATTTGATTTTTGCATCCAAAGTCGTACCGAGGTATTTTTGCCGTAATGACATCTGGTACTATAACGTTATGTTAACTGGTGGTTTTTCTTTTCGTCTTCGGTACATGAAGTAATGTGTTCTGACCTCGACATCTTAAGTTTTGTTCTCCGTTTTGTAGTCGATCCCTGTACCCCGCTGGCTATTTGAAGTTTGTTAGTGACTTTCTGTATTGTTAGCCTGGTGGCAAATATTGTATTATCATTGGCAAATATTGCTATGCTCTGGTCATCAGTCCTAGAAAAATTGCACGTATGGATTAGGAACAAGATGGGTCTTAGGACGTTCCCTTGTGGGACACCTGCTTTGATCTCTTTGAATTCCGAATACTCGACTTATTGTCTCACTTAGAATTTGGGAGTTCTGGCAATTTATTGTTCAGTTTATAAAACAATTGATGCCATATCCTATGAAAGGCCTCAACCACATTAAGGAAGATTGCTGAACAATACTGTTGATCTTCTAAAGTCTTCTCAATCAGGTCCGTTTTTCTATGAAGCTGGTTTATTGTGGAATGATGACTACGATACCAAACTGGTAATCCTTTCTTCAAGATTCGGTTTTGCCTCTTTATCTTCTAAGTAAAATAAATTATTTACTTCCCTCTAGTAGGTGTTCTAGCCACGACGTCTTTGACTCAATCAATAAAATATAACACTAAAACTATTCTCAAATTTTAGCTAGCCTCTTATAGCTAGTATCTTAGAGTCAGTAAAAGCGCGGTCCTCAATATCTCATTATTATTAGAGATAGAAAAAAAGTCAAAACTTTCACGATCCTTTAAGGACTACATTTTAAAAATATTTTTATTCATACATGGTATTCTGTTTTATAATGAGTAACAAATTCGTATTTTTAATGGAACACCTGTACCACTCTTCAATACGTTATATACGGGGGTTTCGGGAGTCCCAAAAAAATAATACAAAAATTCTTTAGATGTAGATTACAAAAAAGTAAACCCGTAATGTTTCCAAATTTTGATCATTTTTTGTAAAAGTTAGTCATCATTACTTGCTAAGATAAAACTGAATTTGGCTATACCCTCTAAGAGAAGAGAGGGCGGTTGGGCGGGGCTAGTACCTGCCAAGATAAAACTGATTTTGACAAATAACATACCCTCTAAGAAAAAAGAGAGTGGGTGGGCAGTTCTAGTAGTTGCTAAAATAAGATTGATTTTGGCAAAAGACAGTGATTGGGTGGGGCTAGTAGCTGCTAAGATAAGACTGATTTTGGTTAATGAGATACCCTCTAAGAAAAGAGAGGGTGGGTGGGCGGGGCTAGTATCTGCTAAGATAAGGCCGATTTTGGCAAATGACATATCTTCTAAGAAAAGAAAGGGTGAGTGGGCCGGGCTAATACCTGCTCAAATAAAATTGATTTTGGCAAATGAGATAACCTTTAAGAAAAGAGAGGACGGAAGGGGACACAAAATCAACTCAAACAGGTCAGGTAAAAATTTTCCAAAAACAGAATACCAAAGTCCCCCAAAATTGTTTTAAATAATTTAGAAAAAACATTTTCCACCACCCAAGAGTCTCCCGAATTTAAATAATAAAAAAAAAAACACTGCGGCACTCAAGACTTTTTCAAATTCATAAAAAATAAAACACTATAAGCTCAAAACATTTTTTCAAGTTCATCCTTACCAGTTTATTTTTGAAATTCCGACGCGACGTTGCCACGTTATTGATGTTTTTGCAGTAGGGTTGTTTTTAAAATTCTTGTTACAATATTTTGTGGAGAAATAAATAAAGGCACGCGCTTTGTAGTGGTACCAATTAAATCAAATTTTAATATATAGAGTGTGATAAAAAAATGTTACAATTTACAAATATCGATTTTTCGCTTTTTTAAATAGAAAACCCTGTATTTTATTAGTCTATCTTATTTTGCCCGCTGAGTAATAAACTTTATTATCATTATTATTCTATTTTTTTTTCATACTCCCAATGTCCACATGTCTCTTGAAAAGGTAAAAAAATCGCAGTAATCTATCAATTTTAAATATAGAAATTTCTTAACAAAAAATAACGAGAACAACAATAGAATAAGGGTGTTCTATTTAAATAAACATAAATATCCATACTTGAATATACTAATAATTAAGAATTTGTTTATAAACACTCCGCATATGAAGATTTTTTATTTGTACTTCATACATACCGCAACAACGCGCATACCTTTATTTATCATTTCACAAAATATTGTCATACAGGTTTTAAAAATAATCCTATTGCGATTTTTTTAACACTTCCATTTTTAAAATCTTTTAAGAAAATTAGAATAACGTGGCAGTGTCGCATCGGAATTTAAAAAATAGATTGTGGTTGTAAAGCCTAAGAAGAGATCAATCAAAATATGTAAAAATACATGGGGTATTTTATTAAACAAAAAACTAAGTTGTGTCTTATGCACAAAAAATGAAGCAGTCTGTATAGTTAAAAATAATTTTAGAATATACTTATCAAAAAACCGTATACCGTCGATCTTTGACTTTATTTCTGATTCTAATAATTAGTGGGACTTCGAGAAACGCGCACTTAGTGGTTCACCCTGTATATAAACTTGTCATCATTTTACTTATAGACAGTTCTGATGACGTTCGAAATGTCTTCACGACTGACTTTTATTGGATGTCGCTTCTAGAAACACCTTAAAGTGTAAAGTTATTTAGCAGAAAAGGTTGGATAACTCAGCAATTATTGTTTAAACGAAACAAATAAAAAAAATGTTGTGGAATAAATATACATAGTGTGAACAACATAATGTGTGACCGCAGCGGCTGTGTTTCAGAAAACGTATGTCGGTACTTTTTAAACTCAACTTATTTCTGTCTATCTCAACCTTTCCGCTGAACGCTGACTTATTTAGAAGTGTATTTACCACTGAATTTCATAATATCCCATTGAACAATCATCCCCTTTTAACCTTCACTTTTCTGAAGAAATAGTCTTGACATAGCTTTCGAAATTTTTTGATAAATTTTGTCCTCGACTCAACGATATTTCAGTATTTCAGTCAGATCCTCGTTTTTAAAAAAAGGAATTAAACGCAAGCCAAGATCTATCAAACGATTAGTCTCACATCTGTCTGTTGCAAGCCCTTAGGAAAAATAATATGAATTCATCTCCCTCATAACAGATTTTTTGACAAATGCCTTAAAAACTTATATGAAGGAAGGAATGGTTTGTTTGTTAGATTAATACCAAAAAGTTTAACACAAATTTGTTACAAGTTAACACGGATTAAGTTAGGTAACTATTTATTAAGAGAAGTTAACCAGAGGCTTTTACAAAAACCTATCAATGACGTTATCCAATGGAAACTAATGAAAACAAAAATGGAAGACACTTGACCGGACGAACACATTTTTGGACTTTTGGTTTCTCGATGTCCATAACTTTATCCTTTCTCCGATTTATTTTTTGGGATTCCACGAGTGGAAGTTCTTTGAGGTTAATACGCTTAATGGAGAAGACAATACCCATTTAAGTAATTGAGAAATAATTTATTCAGCAGTATACAAATAAAACCCAGAATTTATGAGAATTTTCTTTTATTAGAACAAAATTGGAACTTCTGAGACATACATAACGGGTGTTCGGTTGAAAAAGTCGTCAAGTTGGCCTTGATTTTTTGTAAACATTGTGAAGTACATCTACAATAAACGTATCATTTAATCGATGACAGCTGACAACGGAGAAATGTCAATCATACACAAGTAGCAATTAATAAAAGGCATGCGTTTTTCGCTACGTTTTCTTCTATCAAAAAAGCAACGCCAACTTGAATTTTTTCAGTTGAACACCTGTTAAAAGCAAATAGAATGTATGTAAGTGATTTACATCAAAAACGACAACAAAATTTGTTCTTAAGCTTACCCACAACATAACTTTTGTGCTCTCCATTTAGAAATGATTAGTAATTTACCATTTTTTTAATTTTTATTATTATTCAAATTAACTTTTATTATGCATTGGTACCACCAATTTTTTTTTAATGTTTACTTTATTGAATTTATCTTACTTTTTAAATATATTCAGTAATTTCTCTGTAAGGAACAATTAAATACCTTCCTGTGTTTTTCAGTTATTCCAAAGAACCTAGATTTTTGAAAAAACCTCTATCCACTGAAGCATTTGAAGGTGACAACATTGTTATTCTGTGCGAAGTCATCGGAGATCCTAAACCCGAAGTTGTGTGGCTCAGGGACTTCTTGAAGGTAAGATAATATTTTACATTGATACTATCTGCTATTACATACGGTGAAAATGCTTTATTGTACTCACGCTTAATAAATAATAACCACGCTGAAAATGGATTGTTCCAGAAAGCCAGCAGAAAGCTTGACAAATTACGTACTAGAAGCTTATCTTTGGCAGTAGCTACCTACGTGTGAAATAATTAGTCATTAAAGGATTTGAGATAAAATGTTGTTTGAGCTATTGTTCATAATAAGTCAGAGGGACAAATTGCCAATTCTTTAGTAATCACTTAATTAGTATTAATAATTTTGAAAAATTATTGCGCACTGCTAAATGCGAGAATGTAGTAATTCCAATATTTCATCATTATGAGAACGGACATGAATTTCCATATATGTCTGAAATGCAGTTTACACAATAAGGCTCGACGTGACTCATTATTTAGTTGACGTACAATTCAACAACAACAAAACAAAAAAATTCCTCCGCAAAGAACAAATCGCTTATTTAGCAAGACCTATTTATCGGAGAAACAATCTGACTGTCTAATATTGATTAATAGACATTTAAAAGTCGATTTAAATAAAAGAGCGACTGGATTGTTTTGTAAATGTTAGATGAACGTGACAGATAACGAAACTAAATATTTATAACGACTTTCCCTGATGAAATTCAAAGGGTAGTCCCGCTGATATGGGACCACCCAAACGGTGTTACACCATGCAAGTATAAATATATCATTCAGTTGAGAGTAATCAGCAACAGACAGATATTTAAATACATTTGTTTATTATATGTTAATGTTCTAACATTTATCTCTACTCACACCTTGTTATTTGTTCGAACTGAAGCTATCATTACAGGCCTACAAATGTTTAAATCCTACCCACACATACCCGGTGAAGCTTGTTATCATCTCATTACGAGTATCATTCCTATTGTATTTTATAGCGCTACTAGAATGGGACATTTTTTTATTCCTCACTTCCATTTACCGTCCTATATGTAGCTTTTATATCCGTATCACGTAATCTCCATGTGTGGTACAAAACGTTGTTTTATCTACAAGATGAGGAGTTATGCGAAGTTTTTACCATATACGGCATCAACAATAGCACCGCAACAAAGAGAACAGCACCGAGCCATTCTAGATCCATGTTAATCCATGTAGCAATTTTTTATGCTTCATAAAATCCATGCACATCTCAAAATCCACGTAAAAACTCCAGCTTCAGCGAATCTCATCATGACGTAATTTTTTTCCTTTTGAAGCGATGTGTTTAGTAGAATTATCGTAAAATTGCTTTTAATTTTTTATTCGAGTTTAGCTTCCTTTTAATGGTAGTCTTTAATGGCCTGCCCATTAAAAGAAATTTCATTAAACCATATGTTGATGTCTTAAGATCATGTTTAGCTGAGGGTTGACCTCCAGTGTACTGAATCAGTATTGGATCAGTTTCAATTGCGATAGCTTCACATGTGGGTTTATAAACTAAAACTTTTGTTATTTCTCGCGAGGAAGTGGAGATTGGACTGGTTGGGATACTTACCATATTAGGGCGACGTAAGTACGTGGATTTTTCTGACAACTCGTTTAATCTCAGTTTGTTTCAAATAAAATGTCCTTACATGAGACATTTTTATTTTTATCGAGATATCAATTAAGTGATATTATGTTAAGATGTTTAAAAAAAATATATTTCGAGTTTTGTACCATGTAGTAAGGGTATTACAAATTAAATTAATTTCGTGTTTATGTATGCAAAAATCATAAAATTTTCATGTAGTATGAAATAATGCAAATTACTTAATTATACACATTAAGGTTATTACTCATTAGAGAAACAAGTAGGTGCAATAAAGTAACGAGACCTATCGTTATTATAATTGATTTAATGAACTAAATGAGTATACTGTATCGTGGGCACAGGCATATCAGCTGGTTTATGGTTATTTATAATGTGTTGTATACGGTACCGCTTTATGAAGTCTAATAATAATTTTTCAACCGAAATTAACGTCACAAAAATAAAATAGTAACACTAAACTCGTGTAAATTGATATTTGCATTAGGTATACATTACATTTGGATATTACGTCAGCTGTTCAGGTACCTATTTCATTTAAAATACGTTTTAAAAGAGTAAAAAAATTATTGTAGTTTGCTGAGTTTACGACATTTAACTAAATATTATTGCTGCAAGTTTTTTTATAATATCTGTTTCCATTTCATTGCCTATTTTTACCCTTTATAATTAAACAGAATATAGCTAGATTTGTTAGAAAACATTCCCACTATACATTTTCTAAATTGAGTGTGTTTTCTAGTTTATGTCTCTATAGTTCTAACGGCTAGATTATAAAATTTGATATTTATGTTATATCATGAACTTGAAACTTACAGGGCAAACTTATCAAAATACATGAGCGATGTTTTTTTGTGTTCTCCAAAAATATACTTAACACAAAAATATTGTACTTTCTAGGATATACCTAAATTTTAAAAATTGTTCTAAAGTTACTCGGACACAACTTCCTTCAGGTATAACATATTATTTTACTCTTCAAATGAGATTTGCTTAGCTAAATTTTGAGATGACGTTATCACATTTTTGGTGGGGATGGTTTCACAATCAGTCCATGAGTTTTGGAAAAAAAATGGCCAAAACACGACAAACCTGCGCCTGTGGTACATCAGAACGCCAATGCTCAAATACAAAATTTATAGACTTCTAAATGAAGTAAAATTCGGCTCTCAGAAGCCGGTATAAATTTTTTCCCATCGCGACTTCCGCTTCCAGGCTTTTCGAACGCCGTCGGCCGCCGTCACCAACGATGAGTCACCCGTCATTGCCGTGCATACCCACTAGAAAGCTCTCGACGGCTCATAGGCGTCGTACCGGGGTGGCGTATGGGTCTCTTTCGTAACAGGACACAAACGTCATGAAACATAAATTGGAAAATTCTTATGCAACTACTAAAATGTCAGTTTTGAAATTACTGACATTTGTGGGACAAGTATTTAACTAATCATTAACAAATGAAAAATGACAGAATCCATGAATTCGTCATGTTATAGTTTTACATCTTTTTTTGTTGGTTTTTAAACTGACATCTGTTTGTTTTGTCTGGATGATTGTTCTATTATTAAATAACTCCTTTCTATACTCTAAATCGAAAAGAAATTAACCTAATTTATTAACAGCAATTTTTATTTGGATGACATTACCCTACTTTTTCGAAAATGTGCGAATAGAGACCCTGGACAAAGGTTATTAGAAAACAAACATTTTCTGTATTTGTGGTTTATGAATCTGCCTTGATCTTTTATCACAAATACTTCACAAAAAAATTTTACTGCAATATTTTCGACGTGTTTCATGTAGCCGATATTCCAAATACCGAGTAACTATTAATGCTTAAAGCAAATTTTTGCGTTGGCAATTCTGAATTACTGACAGTAATCTTAAAATGTCAGTTCACAGCTGTGAACTTTTACAGGACCGCGCCTAACACGTATTAGAAACTTAAATTTCATTTTAACAATTAGGTATGCTGTCATAAAATTTTAAATATGTTGCCAACCTGGCAAAAAAATCACAATCATAATAATAGTCACCCGGTATCTGGTGGTTCCGTTGGTTAAGAGGGGATTTTCAATATATTTTGAAAATGTAATATCTCCATCATTAACAAATTTATTGTTATGACATTTTAAAAATAACCTGTCCACAATTTTCTCTATCTAACGCAAGAACAGTTTTTTTAATTAGTTTATTATTTTCTACTTTTTAGCATGTGGGTGAAGTTTTCCATTTTTAAAAATCAAAATCTCAATTATTTATGGAAATTTGGGAAAGCGCTTTTCACCACTGTTTTTTAATTATTTCCTTTTACTGTTATTATCTATATATTTTTACTTGTAGGGGTTATCATAAAATAAATGACGCCAACATTATTTTATAATTTTTGCAAAAAGCTGCATTTGTTCGATTGTAATTAAGATTAACAAGAGTTGGTCTAAATTTATTTTGTTCTTATGACATCTCCTGTTATAAAAAGGAGACTAAGATCCCCCAGCATTCTTTCAAACTTTATCTTAAACAAAATAAAAGGGACCTTCGAGATTTTTCCAAATTTTTGCATATTCTATAAAAAAGAAAAAGACCCGAACTAATCCACCCCAAAATTCTTCAAACTCTTTCAAAAATAAACAAAGAGTCCCGAGATCTTTCAAAAACCTATCAAAATACAACGCAAAGGGCCTCGGAGATTTTTCATATTTTAAAAGCAAAACACTAGGGATTCCATAGATTTTTCTAAATTCTTTCAAAAATAAAATATTGAGACTCCTGTAGTTGTTTTCATTCTTAAAAAAAAGGACAATAGGAACTTCTAAGGGTCTTTCAAATACTATCAAAAACAAAGTAGTCCCTTATTTTTTTTTCAAATTTTTTTCAAAAATAAAACAAGACGGGTTCATAAACCACACCTGTAGGAGAAATTAAAATAACATTTACGATTAAAAATTTTAAGGTAACGTGATCACATTGTTTATGGGGGTGATTAAACAAAGTTTCGCAGATTATCGGTCTAATAAATTAAAATCAACATAGACGACAGAAAGCAGACAGACAGACGGAAACGGAAAATATACTGCTGCATAATAAAATTCTAAAAAATACAAACACACTGTGAAACCACAAATGTATTCTGTATATTTTAATTAGGAATTATCATCGAGCAAAATTTTGACACGTCATTAAATTTTTGGAAGAAAACTTTAATTTTAAACCTAGTTTGTCATGCAAATAAATTTTAATATTCGGCCGGCATCAGTTTATGTCTGACGTAAAAGTGAGTGAAAAGCTGAACTTTATCCAGAGTTCTTACTTATAAATGTAACACTACACGAAATGTTTCAAAAAATTAAAAAAGACAAACCTAAAGTAATTAACAGTTGATGAAAAATGTTGTGAAATTAATTTCCACTGCCAACAACAGTACCAGATTGTTA